ACATCTCGTGAGGTGTTTTGGCAACCTTCTTGGTAGGGACTCGGTTAAGGATATGGGCGGCAGTCTCTAAGGCATACCCCCAAAAGAAGATAGGTAGTGAAGCACGACTCATCATAGAGCGAACCATATCCAATAAGGTTCGATTACGCCTTTCTGCCACACCATTCAATTGCGGTGTCCTAGGAGGCGTCAATTGCGAAACTATTCCACACTCCTTGAGATAATCGTGGAATTCAAGACTTAGGTACTCTCCTCCTCGATCGGATCGAAGCATCTTGATTTTCCTGCCCAATTGATTCTCCACTTCATTTTGAACTCTTTGAACTTTTCAAAGGTTTCTGACTTTTGCTTGATTAAATAGATATACCCATATCTACTATAATCATCGGTAAAGGTCACATAGAAGCGGTTCCCATCCTTCGTGGTTGATCTAAAAGGTCCACATACATCGGTATGTATTAGGTCTAATAGTCCCTCACCCCTTTCACAAGTGCTCGTGAAGGGTGACTTAGTCATCTTTCCAAGTAAACAAGACTCGCATGTGTCATCTTCCCTAAGGTCGAATGACTCCAACACTCCATCCTTTTGGAGTTGGGCTATGCGTTTCTTGTTGACATGTCCAAGACGACAATGCCACAAGGATGCTTTATCCATACTAGTGGAAGAATCAATATTCAAAACATCATTTCCTAAGTTATCAACAATCATAACAGTTTCATATATTCCATTACATGGTATAGCTTCAAAGTAAAAGACACCATTTAGATAAGCCAAAATAGAACCATTCTCATTATTAAAAGAAAATCTAAAACCTTGTCTATATAAACCATGAAATGAAATGATGTTTCTAGCCATTTCTGGCGAATAGCAACAATTGTTCAAATTAAAACTAAACTATTCTTAAGCACCAAAGAATACACTCCAATCTTGGTCACAGGCGACGATCTTCTGTTCCCCATGATTAGATTGATCCTTCCTTGCTCCACATCCCTACTTCCTTTTAGTCCCTGCACATTAGAACAAATGTGATAACCACAACCGGTGTCAAGAACCCAAGAAATAGCATGATTAGAATCGTTAGATTTTATTGCATATATACCTGCGAAAGATGGCTTGATCTTTCCTTCCTTGATGGCTTGCAGGTAGTCCGGGCAGCTTCGCTTCCAATGTCCTATCTTGTGGCAGTGGTGGCACTCTGCCTCCTTCGGGTTAGAGCAGGGCTTAGAGGGATCAACTTTTGTCCCACTAGAAGAGGAACCATCTCGGGCTTTCACCTTTCGATAGTTATTTGAAGAAGCTTTCCTCTTCTTTCCCTTCCCTTGACCAATTGCCAAGACAGGAGCAGCAGACGGATTGGGAGTTGGTGCAACAGACTTGTCCTTGAAATTGCTCTCAGCAACCCTCAAGAGACCTTGGAGCTTACTTAGAGTGACCTCCTCTTTGTTCATGTGGTAGGTCATCCTAAATTGATTGTACATCGGAGGCAAAGAGTGAAGCACCATGTCGATCGCCAAGTCTTCGCCGAAGTCAACGTTTAACTTGCGAAGGCGGTCGACATACCTTTGCATCTTTTGCAAGTGCACGGTAAGAGATTCTCCATGACCCATCTTAGCGGAAATCATGTTGGTGAAGATCTCGTAACGCTCTTGTCTCGCGTTTTGGTGGTACCTCTCCAACAAGTCTTGATGCATCTCGTATGGATACATGTCCTCGTAGGACTTTTGGAATTCGGAGTTCATGGTGGCGATCATGATGCAATGTACTTTCGTCGCATCTCGCTCATGGGTTTCAAAGGCGGTGATTTCAGCGGGAGTAGCAATTTCGGGGTTGATTTTCTCGAGCTTCTCGTCGAGGACATACTCTTTATCCTCATAGCGAGCAATGGTGCGAATGTATCTTATCCATTCGCCAAAGTTCGTTCCATCGAAGGTGACCTTTTGGCAAAGGCTCATCAACGTGAAAGAACTAGCAGCAGCGTTGTTTGCGTTTGACATCTATAGAAAGGACAAAGATAGATTAGAACAAGAATCCCTAATTATCACCCAATAAGAAAAATTAGGGCTAGGATCCAACAATAACATTTACATACTAGAAAAGGGATGCCGTAATCCAACATGCAAATAAATTGAAGGTAAGTGAATGACGATTCACTAATTCTCCATCACAAAACTTAAACTTTTAGTCCTAAGTGTTTTTGAGAATTCCTAGGTTCGGATGAGATTCATTGAACTATTCAATGGCATGTTTAAATCTCGATATGCCCCTCTTGTTTGTGACTGGGATGCCGAGGATCACAAAGCGGGTGTGAATTACCATGCAAATTTACATGGTGCCTTCATTGTTACGATCACCTATTCGATGTGCCGGTAAACCACACACGCTCCATCGAACTATGATAAACAATGAATCACCCTTCGCCACCTTCGCTTAGAACCAATTAGTGTGCCGGTAAACCACACACGCTCCACTAACATCTTAGCAAGGTGCAAAGTGTAATTTCATGGAATTGCATCAATTCACTTTTCCTAAAGTAACTAAGATTGGGAAATTTAAAAAAATTTAGTTACTTCGTATTTCTTATTATACTTTTAATGAGAGGATGAGGTTGCCCTATCCTACCCGTTCGGCTAACGACCCTCCACCAATCAAGCAAGCGGTGGGTGTGAGTGTACACCCATTAAGCGCCATTTTATAGGCCGCAACCTTATACCCACCTTATAGATCGGCTTCGTGAATGAGGCCTACTAGCGGTAAGACTAGCATTTAGTTATACATATATATATTATTCTAATAATGTCATATAAGTATAGGGTTGTATTTTAAACTTTTCAAAATCTAGGGTTTGAAATTTAAGTTGTCTAAATTAAAGCTTTTAATCACAAATTTAAATTTCAAAACTATAGGGTAGGTTTTAAACATTTAAAAACATGGAGGATCAAATAACAAATAATTTCAATTAACAATTAATATCTTAATTATCTTTATTTGATTTATCTTTGATTTCTTTGAAGATAATTACCAAAAATAATTAAAACAATTAATTAATTATCATATAAAGAAACTAAATATTTAATTAGTTGATAATTACCTTTAACTAGATCAATATAACACTTATATTTATCAAAAAAACGGATTCATATTGATCTAATTAGTTTATGGTAAGTTTGGATAAGATAAACACAAAGAAATCCCGAATCTGGCCTTTCCTGACGCTTGGACTCGCCGAGTCAGGCCTACTCGCCGAGTCCACTTTGGAACTCGACGAGTCAGTGACTCAAAACCAAAAAATCGAATTTTGCAGGTTTGTTTCAGTTATACAAGCAACAATTTGTAGAAAACCAATCTAGGCTCTGATACCACTGTTGGGTTTTAGCCATAAGAACTTTCCTATGTGCGCATGCAAAACCCTATTGCTTGGATCTAGGCTTTCTATCAAACATGCTTTTGAATCCAAGACTTCTAATGGCTAATTAGGTTAAACAATAACATTAATACAGATCTAGAATCATACCTTTGAGTTCCTTGTTGATCTTCTTGTCTTGGAGCTTCTAGAGTCACAATTGTCACTCCTCTAATGGTTACAAACACCAATAGCAAGCAAGATGATTTAGGAGAGAGGAGAGGGGATGGAATTCGGCCAGAGGTTCCTTCTTTAGGTTCTGAAAGTTGTCACGAATTCCACACCCCAAGGGCCTATTTATACCTTTAGACTCCTTAAGGGTTTCACCCTAAACCCTAATTGGATAATCTTCACTTAAGGCTATCCAAATCCATTCCATAGATATCCTTATGGACTATTTTTGAGCTATCCTAAAGCTCTTAGAAACCGTCCAAAGTCCATCCTAATGGATTTATAGTCTAAAGTCTAACTATCAAACAATTGACAGTTTATACCCTCTTATTTAATTAATCTCTTTAAGTCACCAAATTAATACCAATTAATCTATGACTTATATTAATCAAATAGCTAAATATTATTCCTTATAATATTTACTCTCTCTTAACAAATCATCCTTCAAGTTGCTATGGTGAAGGCAACCCAAAAGGACCATGCACCACCGAATATAGTTATAGCCTTAGACACTATTCCAACAGTAAAGGTATTCTATGAATAAATACTTGTTTCCCAGCAAAATCTCCAATTGCAATTTCTGCTTGAATAACATTCCTACTGAATTTTTTGCAAAAAAGTCTTGTACCATTACATAATCCTTCTGTTGGATTCATGTTTCTTAATAATATTATAGGTGTATTTTTCTTCAAAACAAGTCGATGTGGTGGCATACCATTTGGAGTTAAAGAGTGAAGAAGATCTTCATAATGAGCTTGGTCGTTTGGATCAAGTGTTTCATCAAAACTAATATACTCCATTTCTTCACCTGGGAATTTGTGTATTAAGATATCATTGATCTCATGTACAAAATTTTTTTTGGTTGTCAATATAGCTTAGTTCAAGGTAGAATGGACATTGGTTGAAATGTTGGATATATTAGGGTAAACATAGTCTATAAGAACATTTAACTGATTTGTTGTTGCATTATTTTGTATGACGATTTGTGTAGGAAGAGTAACAAAATCATTATCATCTTAGATTTCTTTTCCATCACCTATTCTTAGGAGAAAATTTGTAAACGTAGGATCTAGAAATGACCTCATGTTTTCATCTAGTTGTAGTAGAGACAATGATTGCCATAGATGAGAGTTAGTCAAACAGGCAGCAATTGTATTTGACTTGTTACCATTTCGAACAACTGGCAATGTTTGTCTAAAATCACCACCAAGTACAACCACTTTCCCACCAAAAATTTCTGTTGAATCCATAAGATCTTGTAGTAAGTCATCTAGAGCGTCTAATGCAGATCGTTTTTCCATGGGGAGCTTCATCCCAAATAATCAATTGACAGGTCTTAATTAATATACCTAAAGAACATTGCTTACTAATTCTACAAATTGACCCGTCTGTTAAATCTAATGGAATTTTAAATCTTGAATGAGCTGTTCTACCTCCCGGAAGTAATGATGCAGCAATGCCTGATGTTGCAGTTGCTAATGCAATATGTCCTTCTGATTTTGATTTTTGCTAGCAATGCTCTATATAGGAAAGGTTTCCCCGTACCACCTGGACCATCAATGAAAAATGCTCCACCTTTATTGGCTTTCACTTTTCCAATTATTGTATCGAATGCAATTTTTTGTTTTTTGTTAAGATTATGTATTGATTTTAGATCATCATCTGATACAATAATACTTTGTTGTGCGATTATTTCCTCTGTTTGATCATCTAAATCAGTATATGATAAATCATCTGGCAATATATCAAATTCATGAATTTGTCTTCCTGTTGATTGTAAATAGGTGTTAATTTGCTTAAACGTGTTTCGTTTGGCTTCTTTTTTTGAATAATTGTTGCAGTGTAGAAAATCTTCTAACATTGCAGATTCAAAAGATAGCCACAACTCACGAGGATTACTTGGAATTGTGTATACAAGCAAGCTTGCAAAAAGTCTTCGTAATTCATATGGCATGTGGTAAACTGATGCTTCTTCTAGGCATAATTTTTGGCTATTATCATCAATTAGATATCCATGTAGTAATGCAGATTCTCGAAAGGTAGCAACCTTAATTCCTTTACAAATCTTAAGACTATCATATGATTTTGGACATCTTATTTTGGATAAAAGTATCCGTAGATAATATCTCTCACCTTCACTTGGATGAGCAAGCACAATACGTCCTATTGATTTTTCAGTTTGTGTGGGTGACCAAATCTTCGTATCTGACTTCCATACAAAATGGTTTGGATACTCTACATATGTTAAATTAAGATGTTGTGCAAATTTGTCTGTGTTGTTTTGAACAAAAAACTCAGTAAGCATAGTTTTTCTCTTTGATGAATTGGCAACAATATTGGTTAGTTGTTCTTTCCTTTTAAAGGTTATCGGTTGATAATCTTCTAAATGAAGGGGTAAATGAATAACCGTTGGTTTGATATCGCCTAATGAAAATCTAAAAATTCTCCAAGCTGCCTCGGGGGGTGAAATCCACCTACCTGCTTGAAATTGATCAATTTCATTTATTGTCTCATGATGGTCATTTGATGAAACTACAAAACTTATTTTGTCAGAACCTTTGCATATATATTTATATATGTATTTGACTGCCTTTATTATTGAGCATATTTCTAAATTAATATGACAATCAAACTTACATAATAAATAGGGATTGTATGGAACAACCCATCTATTATCTAGCTCTGCACCTCTAACCATAACCTTTACGCCATTGTCACGTCTTCTATAAGTCGGATATGCATCATTAGTTTGGGTCGTTTCACAACAAAAAGCTTTTGGATATAAATTCTTGCAAAAGCCTCTTTTTTTCATACAAACATTACGTGGGTTAAGATCACCACATGGACCGTGAATCATGTGCTTCAACACCATTCTAAATAGATGAGGATTTGACTTTTCATCGGGTATTTCAGCAGAAACAATCTCATCATATTCTTCTGCATGGTACATCTTATAATGAGATGAAAGTATAAGTAAAAAATATGCATAAGGAAGACCTCTCTTTTGAAACTCAACCACATAAGTGTACGCCACAACTTTTCCAAATATTTCTTTTTTCAAAATTTCTTTTTTAAATTGCTCAAGTTTAGCATGGAAAACTCTTACAATTAAATCGGCCCTATTTTGTGTTTCCTCTTGAATCATCATGTGTTGCCTAATTTCTGGCCAATTCGGGTTGCAAGTTAATGTAAGAAAAATGTCAGGTTTTCCAAACTTTTGCACTAATGCCATAGCGTCAATGTATTTTCGTCTCATATTCCTTGGACCACCAATAAAATTTGCTGGTAAAACCACACGACGACCTATAGTTGAGGCATTAGTTTCACCACTTGCTAGTGCATCTACAACCCCTTGGAGGAACTCTTGTCGTAACTCATGTTGTTGTGTTCTGTAGAAAGCTAATCTTTGTGTTTCTAATTTCACATAACTGTCCACAATATATTGTAGTAATAATCAACCAAAAAGCAGTAAGCAAGATTTGTCATGTTTACGAATTTGAAGTTTGTAGGCATAATATTCTCTAACAGAGACATATTTTGCTGTTTCAGAACTTCTTGTCATCACTGTTAAGAAAAATTAATTAATTTACATGAAGCAAGGAAAAATAAAATTGAAACTGCATTTACTACCTGACTCTTCCATATGTAATAAGTCGTCGACATTTGTCATTCCCATGGGCGAGATAAGGCTTTCAGCGGAACATGTAACTATCCTATTGTGTGTTTGTTCGTTGGCACTTTTTTTGGGTATATGTTGATGACAACCAAGTTCCCCAAATGGAAACATTAAAGGGTATTGTAATGGATCGTAACAACCATAATAATATTCAACACTCTTGGGTATGTTACTATGTGTTCTAACTTCAATATTTCTTTTACCATGTTCTCCGTTCTCTTCGCCTTCAACCCACATAGCTGCAACTTGTGCAACTTCAGGCTTGTTATACACGCGTTGATCTTGTGTTGGGATAGTCTTAAGAATAATCCTATAGTCATCTATACATGGAATGTCTGTTAAATTTTGGAAAAATCATGCATATGGATTATGATGTAGATAGGTTATGCATTTTGCAATTAAGTCTTTGGATAACCGTGGAGAAGATGTTAATCGATTTTCTATTTCATTCTCAGTATCGTGAAAATACAATTGCAGGTTTTTAGCTTTTTTCTCTTTAGGATGTAAATCATTTACGAAATGATACACTTGACCTTGGACTCTAAAAGTGTAAATACCCTTATTTCTTCTTGTTAGGTTCTTGTCAGCTGTAACACCAAATGAAGTGAAGGAAAAATGATTATTGTATGTTCTTATATATGTTCTAAATACCCTTGCTTCTTCTGAGGTAGATGTTAACAAGTCATGCATGACAAGTGGGAGTTCATTACTGAATAAAACAATACGACCTTCTAAACAACAAAACTTTGATGTTTCTGTATGAAACTTAACAGCATCACAATGACAACAACATACTACTTGAGGAAGAATATCAGCAGATAAAATAACTTGTTGCAAAAGTTCTTTTCCTTTTCTATTGTTGACTTGATTGCCCATGTTGTTTGACATTGCAACTGAATGAAGAATATTTTTAGCTTTTATCTTATTAATTCTTCTTTTTTCTCTAGTTATGATTTCTTCTGAGTTGGTTGATTTTTCTCCATTGGTTGAGTTTTCTCTTGTGGTATCAATTATTTTTTTGTTGATGAATTGTAGTTTTGCATTGCAACTGTTTTTTCTTTTCTTTTGTCTCCATTTTATAATTGCTTCTTTTCTATATTGTTTCTTATATTGCCAAGCATTATGAATCATATTTAACTTTTCTATTATATAATTATACCTCCCTTTTTTCTTCTTCCAATTTATAATTGCTAATCTCCTGTATTGGTTCTTTTGTATAATGGAACAAGCAACAACAGGTAATGCTTTTGTGTAATTTGTAGAGGTATGTTGACATGTTTTCATGATATTCAAATTGATTGCAATTACTGGCTTCTAAATATATTTTTGTATTTTTTTTTCAAATTTATAGGAGTTGTATTTTCTTTAAGGGTTTACACCAATTGAATTAAAAAATATATTAAGTATCTTCATAGATTAAGCAAGAAAGAAGAACCTGGCAGTTGACATATGGTGCCTACCATAGACATGTTAACTGATGGCCGGCCTTCAGTGTAAACAGATTCAACATCTGGTTCATTAAAAAATAGATAAATGACTATATTTAAATATATGCCCCACAGGGAAAGAAATAGGATACTAACAACATACATTAAGTGGGATTCTAACCTTTTATTGAACATTCTGGGAAGATGAATGAATCCTTAATCAATGAAGATGATTTGCAATCAAAATCTTGTACATCACTATCCTAAAAGATCAAATCATGTTTCTTGACAGTTTTTGCAAGTTTAAAAAATAAGATATATAATTAATTTTTGAATCTTACGAATGGAAATTCCAAACAACAGAATTATTTTTTTTTAAAAAACCCTTACTTTGAAGTTTTTTTCAGTAACATGCAAAAGGTTAGAATTTATAATTTTGCCGAAACCCACAATCTTTTGTTGTTAATTAGGCTTGGAGTTGCTCTTTCTTTAATCTGAAAGTAAACCAATGCATCAGGTACATTTACAAGTTGTAATTGCTAAGTGTTCCTTAACAAAGTAAGGGTTTGATATCAAATGGGAGTGCATGAAAGAACTGAATTATCGTTATTTTAACACTGATTTAAGGGAAAATAAATGGATATGGGTGTATTACTGATGCAAATTTTGTGATAATTTCTTCGAGGAATTCATATTGAAGCCCTAAATTGATTGATGCATTCCTAATCACGAATAGGAGGAATAGCAGAAAGATGCATAACATGAATCTGTGAGATGGAATGAAGAAATACAATTGATACAGGATAATTCTTACCTGTTTCTTTAGACAGGGGGTTTGTTGACACAATCTTCAGTATGGCGCGCAGATTGTAAGAGGAAGAGAAGGAAAGGATACTCCCATTCACGATGTATGTATGTGCTTTATTAGCGATGATAAGATGCATGGAAGATTTGGGGATTTTTTTGGACGTGAAGTAATGTTCTCTGTTTCTGGATGATGATAAACCGGTGCATATTTAGAGGAGGAGGGATTCGAGAAATGATCAGCGGGTGGATTGTGGATTGTGAAAAATTTGAACGAACGGGAGAAGGTATGTTAGGATAAGTTGCATCCTTGTAGAAGACAGGTTACGTGGTGTAAAGGGAACCATGGAAATTGGCTTTCTAAGGCAGGAGGAAAACAGGGTTTTCATATATAATAATGATATATATATATATATATATATATATATATATATATATATATATATATATATATATATTATATATATATATACGGGTGAGGGGTGTGAGGAAAGGAATGATGAACACCCAAGGAGCTTAAGTGTGTGCATTTGAAGGTGTTCTAGAGAGAGAGAGAACAAGTGTGTTAGTGTGTGTGTGAATCTTGTATCCGAATCTTCATTCTAATCATATCATACAAGATTTATATTAATCTTCTTCTCCTTCTCTTCTATTTGATCTGACATCATCCATTTGATTGGGATTCCGCACCATCAAACGGATCTGACTGATACACAAGAGTTTTTGGGGACTTACAATTGGTATCAGAGTTTGGTTGTATCAATCAATTTTTTTCAGATCTGGAGCTTATTTGATCAGATTTTGAAAAGAGAATAGCGTTTTTGGATAGAAATCGCAAAAATAAGGGGGATTTGTTCTTTGCGTTTTTGATAAAAACGAGTTTTTGATCGAGTTTTGGAGCAAAAAGTGTGAAAAACGTTGTTTTTCACGAGATCTGCGAAGTGTTTACGGCTCTTGAAGGGATTGCGGTCTGGAGTTTGCGGCCCGAAGCCTCGGAGTTTACAGCTCACGTTTACGGTCAGCAGCATTTACGGTCTCGCATCCTCGCACCAAGTCTTCGCTTCGCGCCACGGATCCTCACCTCGCCTCGCATCGGCCTCGTCCTTGCATCAGAGCCTTGCAGCCTCGCATCAGCGCCTTCATAAAATAATAGAAGCGTATTTTTGGGTTGCCAGAGATCGAACCCGGGACCTCAAGTTCTCAGTCAGCGAGCCTTGCCAACTCCACCAACAGATCACTTGTTGATTTCATTCCGATATTTTAAACTTAAACACTCCTAGTCGCATCCAACTTTTGAAATTTTGTCAAATTCAGCCCAAAAATCAATTTCTTTCATTTTTAAATTTCTTTTTCAACCAAAAATTTTAATTTTAAATTTTTGAATTTTATTTTTGACCTTTGACTTTTTCGTTTAACTTTTAAATTTTCAAATTTAGCTTTTCGGTTTGACTTTTAAGTTTGACTTTTTAAATTTGACTTTTGAGGTTTATAGTCAAAGGGCATTTTTAAATTTAAGTTTGACTTCTAGTTGTGCTTTACGAGGAAATTAAAAAAAAAATAAAAAAATAAAAAAAAAACATGAAAGAGAGTCGTCAAGAGATGTTAAGACAAAACTTCAACATGTTCGATTATATCCCTGGAGAAACCCTTGAAACTCAGTTGCAGCGATTTACTACACTCACTACTAAGATGAATATAGCTGGGATCTTCTTGACCAAATCTGAGATAAACAAAAAGTTGCTGAATGCACTTCCGAGATCGTGGGATATGGACGTGGCTGACATCAAGAAGACAAAAGATCTCAATTGTCTTAGTCTTACTGATATAATTGAAGAACTTGACGCTTTGAATTGTCGAAAAACAATGAGTTCCGCAAACCTTCCAGTCAATTAAGTTTCATGTTCTCAATCATGTGAAGCTACGATTAAACTTCTTCGTGAACATAATGATTTATTAAAAAGAGAAGTTGAGGACCTGAGATATGAAGGATATCAACTCAGGAAAGGACAGAAACCACTGAAGGCCCAGTTAGAAACAAAAATAAAGGATTTTAATTGAATTCAGACAGAATACAGTGAAAAATGTGAACTTTATGACTATATTAAGAGACAACTTGATGTTGTAACTGAAGAACTTGACGCTTTGAAAACTAAGTGTGGAAAAATAGATGTTAGTTTCAAAAATTATACTGCGTCAAGTAAGACAATTGAGTCCTTATTTGAAACCCAATTAAAATTCAAAGATAATCAAAACAAGGGTCTAGGGTATGATAGTGTTCCTCCACCTTTCAATTATAACTACACATCCATCCTTATGACATAGGAAGAAATTGATAGGGAGGAACATCTTCGATATGGCAAACCAGCTGGATTTGTGTCAGGAGGTATTCAAGTTGAAAATACTAAAGCTTCTACTTTATGTGCAGGTAAAGTAGCAGAGGATGAGAACAAGGAGAACACCATTGAACAAACCAACATCTCCTTGAACTCTGAATTTGTTGCTTCGAACTTAACTGCTTCTGATCAACCTACCGTTGAGAAATACAGGCCACCAATTCCAACGCAACAGAGTTATTGTGGCAAGTGTGCATGTAGGAACAACAAGAGACAAGGAAAAGATACGCCACCAGGGGCAGGAAGAAACAACTTCCCAGTGAAGAAAAAGACATGTTTTCACTGTGGAACACCTGGACACATTGCCAAAAACTGTCCAAATCGCACATATGTTCCCTACTATGCTCAAGGATGGCAAAACGCGCCAAGTGGGAGATACTTCAAAAGAAACCCTTCCAGGTCACGTTCAGACAATGGTGACTGGAACGCGCAAAAGGCCAAGAGTCAAACCCACAAGGCAAAGAATCTGAATCCCAATGGAAAGATGGGAATGCCTGCTAAGAAGCCAAATCCAAGAGATGCTCCAGTGAAACAAAGACCGGCTAAGTCAAAGTCATCTCGAAGATCGGCTTCAAGTGCCAAATCAAGTGTCGAGGAACCCATCGGATCGAAGAAGAAATGGGTTAAACCCGAATATAGATGGGTACCAAAGGTTCAATCTCCCAAATCTCCTAATGTTCTAACATTTCTTCATCTTCTATTTGTGATAAACAGGATATGTCATGGGAGAATGTACCGTGCAAGGATGAAAAAGGTCGACCTAGTTTCAAAATGGACTGGGTTCCAAAGACCAACTGATTCCACTCTGTGTCGGAGCAGCTATGGAGGCATATCATCAAACTTCGGTTTGTTGGTAGTGGCTATTCCAGGCACTTCATAAGGGACATCTCTCAACTGTACAACACTCAAAACATTGTTTGAGAGTATGTGTCCTTTGCGGGAAGGGAAGAAAAGAAGTGATCACTCACGGGGTTTGTGCTTAGTGACATGAAGAATTTTTGGATTTGTTCTGAGATTACGCGTGCTGTTCTCAGACCTTCTGGATGCAAATTTAATCGGTGACTTACGGTTTGAGTTTTCTTCTCTATACTCCTGAGTTTTTCTTAAGCTGATTCGATTTAAAGATTAACTTTTGTTTTAGGATACTTTAAATTTGTGCATTTACTTTCGTTTCTCTCATATGCACAAATTTAGGGGGAGAAATAAAAACAAAACAAAAATTAGAAATATTTTAAAAATCTAAAAACATTAG